ACACCAACGTTGAAAGTGTTGCTTGCTTGTTCAGAACTAGAGGCTTACAAGATACCCGAATAAACTATGGAAAACTGTATGGTTGCACTTAACCTTGGGAAGCTGTAGATGAAGGTTCTTTCACAGGAGCATCATACTAGTCCTGAGGAAGTTGTCAAAAAACTCGAAAGGCCTGTTGTCTTTTACTATATACAAAGTAAAATTTTTAAGAGCACTTTTTGAAATACTTACAATTTTTTTGTAAAAGTGCCCTGTGTAACCAGAAGTCTAACCTAGTCCCAACCTTAATTCTAAGCCTAAACTGTAGCCTTCTAACCCTGACTCCAGCACCAACCTGAATGCTAAGTATAACACTAACATTAATTCTAGCATAAACCTACATGTACACACCCAAATCTACAAAATGTTTTAACTCTGACGTTCACCGCAAATCTAACTGTAACTCTACCTCTAAACTTAAATGTAGCACTAACCTAACTCTGGCCTCAACCCTATTCTCTGTCTCCAATGCTAACCTTAACCCTAGAACTGGCTTTTTAGGGGTATATCTATTAGGGTATACCCCTAAACTGTTCTTTAGGTCTCTTTTTACTAGAAACAAAACTGAGAAATGAATTTTGGATAAAGTGGGTAACCTATAAGACAACATCAGCAGATCATGATTAGGGGGCCTGACCTTTCTGACCAAGATACCCAAAGGTCTGGGTACTGCTCCTGCATGTCTACAGGACATCTCTGCTTCTGTTCTCTGATCTCAGTAAGTGTGCCTAGTAAGGGTTGCTGTGAAAATCAGTGAATATCTCTGAGAGGCAAGATCCAAACTAAGGCTACATTTTCACAGATGTCACAAAGGCGTACGGATGGTAACCTTGATCCTAGACTTCTAGGACTCTCCAAAGTATAAGACCTTCCAGCTCCAGAAGACACATAGTAGGCTGGGGCTCTTCCATTTATATCTAAATCCCAATGGGACCCAAATCCAGATTTTACCAGCTAGAACTCATCCAGATTAGACTAGCACTCTTGAAGACAACATGCAGTGTTAAACTCTGGGGATTATTGAAGTCATATAGGGTACTACATTGTATTCAGAGACTTTACAGCCAACCTGAGGAAAATGAATTAACACAGATAAAACATGAGAGTGAATGATAGCACAGAACGTAACTCAATGATGCATTATGTGGTACAGGCTGGGATACTGAAGTGGTTCAAAGTATGGGAAATAACTTTCCCTCATTTGTCCAGCACTTAGCTTATCAAAATTTTGTAACATACATCCAATCCTTCCTGGGATGTTCAAAGGTTGATAGAGGGCAGATATCGGTATAATCATTCATATTTGCATTTGCAAAAATAGGCTCAGAGTAATTAATTATTTCTCCCCAACCCTCTCAAGCAAAAGAAGAAAAGCAGAGCTTTGAAGTCAACTTGGCCACCTCCAAATGTAATGGAAAGCTCCCTCTATCTCAGGGAGTAAATGAGACTTGAACTGGGCCTTGGACTGAGTACAATTTGAAGGGATGAGTGAAACAGAAAAATGAGTATTCTTTTTTTTCTTTTTTAAATTTAATTATTGTTCAAGTACAGTTTTCTGTCTTTTACTCCCAGCTCAGCCACCCCACCCCCGTGCTCCCCACCTCCCTCCCATTTCCACCCCCCTTAGTTGTTGTTCATGTGTCCTTTATACTGGTTCCTATAAATCCTTCCCCTTTCCCCCTAAAATTCCCTCCCCACACCCCTCTGGTCACTGTCCCCCTGTTCTCAATTTCAGTGTCATTGTTTTTATTTTGCTTGCTTGTTTGTTTTGTTTAGCTTCCTGTTAAAGGTGAGATCATATGGTATTTGTCTTTCAACACCTGGCTTATTTCACTCAGCATAATGCTTTCCAGTTCCATCCATGCTACTGCAAAGGGTAGGAGCTCCTTCTTTCTTTCTGCTGCATAGAATTCCATTGTGTATATGTACCATAATTTTTTGATCCATTCATTTACTGACGGGCACCTAGGTTGCTTCCAGCTCTTGGCTATTGTAAATTGTGCTGCTATTGAGGTGCATAAGTTCTTTTGGAAGAATGAGTATCCTGAACGGGGTAAATACTATAAGGAAAAGTGTTTACCTTTTAAAATAGTAAGGGAGCCAGGAATGGGATAGTGAGCAGACTGAAAGGGGAGTGGATGAGGTAAGACTGGATAGGAAACGTGGGCCTTTGAGAGTCAGGCACAAGTGTTTATATTTCATCTAGAGTTTTGCTAAGAAGTCAGTGAAGTTTTTGAACAGGATAGTGGCATAAAGAGGGACCCATGTAATTAATAGTAGTGAGTAGGAAGGAACCAAACGTGGAGGTCCCAGAGGCAGCAAGGCCCCCTAAGGGGCTTCAGGGTGTGGCTACAAGCAAGGGCCTGGAATGAGGTAGCGATTGCATAAAGCAGAAATAAATGGGTTTAAAAGATGCAATTCAAATGGATAGTCCAAGTGTTTGATTAAGCATAAAAGATGGAGAAAGTGAAAAAGCAGCAAAGAATTCCAAATTTCAAATACAGTGATCCTCTACTTAATGACGGGATACATTCTGAAAACTTTGTTAGACGATGTCATTGTTGTGAGACATGTCATGGAGTGCACTCACAAACACCAGGAACGTATAGCGATTACTGTGACTGTACCACGCCTCTCGGCAGCGGACCGTGCACCGTGTTCACTCACAGCGGCTTCCCCACCAGCATGTGAGTAAAGTGAGGCTCTCCAAACTTCCGAGTTACGACACGTGAGTTACGGCACAACTTTACGACAGCCACGTCGTCTCTGGGCAATGGGAGTGTTTGGCTGTATTGTAACCTGACTAGAGCGTCTTGCCACCTGCGGTCTGTCACTGAGCAGAATGTCGTTGTGTTGCGCGGGACCGTCCCTAGTTTTGTGACCTCGGGCAAGTCGTAGGATGTCCCCGGGCCTCCGTGTAAAGACAATTCGAGGGCAGCCCTTACCGCGCAGGTGACTTGAACTCGTTATGTACGGATGCTGTTTAAATGAAGAGAGGCAATTTTAAAATATCTACAAAGATAGTCTAAGTAATATTCTATAAAATAATAATAAATTGGCACATATCTAAGTGCTCTACCATGGGGGAAGAAGTAAATAAATTATGAAAATTTCATAGAAATTAAAATCATATTTGAAGAACATTGGAACATAAATATTCAAAATATAAAGGTAGATGGAGAAAACAGGATACAATGCCATCTAGATACTTAAAATAAATATATGAATTTGAAAAAGGGACTGGAAGAAACCTTTGAGTGATTATCTCTGGCTAATGGTATGTGACTGATCTTTATTAGCACTTTTCTGCTTTTCTAGAATTTACTAATTTTTTACAATGAACCTTTATTACTTTCATAATGAGAAGAAATATTAAGCAAAAGAGGAAAAGAAATGAGATCGATGACTACTGTTTAAAATCTTTAGATGTGTTGTGTGCTCTATAACTGTTCCAAAATAAAACAGTATATACTAGGTAGAGAGAGAGCATCCTTCTCTGTCCGACTTAGGAAATACTAGCGGAGTGGGATAGACACTGAGACGTGGCCCCGGGAGGTAGAGGCGACAGCCACAAGGGACAGGGACTAGAGCTGAAGGAGATAACATGCCCCCCAAACAGAGCCGGGCTGTAGGCCTGTCTGAAAGGAAATCGGGGCGCCCCTCTGTCAGGCCGCCTGGCCCTTGGAAGCTGTTTACAGCTCAGATAAACACAAAAGCAACTCCGGAAGTAGATAAGAATGCAGTTCTGTCACAATGGCAAACAATGCTTCGTTGTACAATGTGTTTTATTAGGTTTGCTCACTTTAAGGAGACCTTTGCCACAATTCCTCCTGGTTTGCCACTGGGACTGCAAAATGTTTTCAATAAATGGGCGTTTGGGAATAATGAAAATTGACCATCCAGTGACATTATGAAACACTTACGTGTTGAGAATTCTTTATGAATTATATTTAATCAAATAAAGTATTTCTAGGATATAAGACCAGTGTGTGCCCTTGAAGAAAGTAATAATTGAAAACCAATAAAATAATTTATCTTAGAATCTTGATATTGATCCATGATAATTCCTGGCTTTGTGCTGAGTAATCAGAAAATACGATTTGACAAGGCCTCATATTTGAGGCAGCCTGGAGTGGTAAAATGGCCTGACTCCAAGATTTTTGCTAACTGTGTCATTTCATATAACCTTGTGCTGTCACTTAAATGGAAAGCCTTGGGAATGATCTCTGACAGATGAGTTTCTGGTAAATGGACTCCTTTTGGTTTATCTTTGCATTTATTTTACTTTCAGCTGTGCATTGTTGTTTTCCACCAAATACATGCTGCTCAAGGTTCAGGGAGTGTTCTTCAAATATTTTATCTCCTCCCAGAGTAAATCCACTGGCCTTGCTCATATTTACCGTCACTGCTGTTCTGGATGTCCCCCTACCATATCCTGGGTGAGACAGCAGGCTCTGCCTGGCAGAGCTTTGGGATTGCCTAAATACAAAGTTCCCCAAACCCCAGTAAATACCAAATCTGAAAAGGGTCAGGGTGCAGCCTGTCTGGTTTACTTTAGGATCAGCTTGTTATTAGACTTTGAGAGACCCACGTACACTAATTTTCTTGGCTGTGCTTGCATTAGTGAAACAGCATGAAAAAATTAGGAATTTCTCACCATCTCTTGCCATCCCCCAGTGTTTGTGATGCTTGCCTGTATTTTATATGTGAAGTGGGCAAAACTGCTCCATAGAGAAATAGAAGATTTTTCCCAGTTACACAATATTTGCCGATATCTTAAGTTGTTAAAGTAAACACTGTAAGATTGTTTGCTTATGATATCTCCACAGAGGATGCCAGGAACATTAGGAAACTCAAAATTCACAGGTTGATACTAACATTTTAAAGCTGAGTCTCATTAGCATATGTTTGCATCTTTAAAATGTCTGGACAAGGAAGGTGAGCACTGCTGGGAAGACGGGATATGGGATAATTACAGAATGGGAGCTTTTTGATGTTATTTCTAAAAATGAAATAATTAGGCCTAAGAGGGCTTTCCTATGGCAGTCCTCTCACTCCATACTTTCACTTGGTGTCAAAGAGACTATAAGCTACCACACCAAATGCAATCAGTGTGGCATCTGGGACTCCATAAGAGGCCACTGTTTCTCTAACTTTAGCTAACCAGTACACTTCCTGTAACTGGCTTTGGATTAATTATCAAAGCGAAAGGGTCCGGTTACTCTCCAGCTTGTTTTAGAATCACTCTCCCTTTCACTCCTGGCTAGCAGAAGTGTCCCTTGCTGCACGGAGATCATTCCAGCATAGGAAACAAACCCCAACAACTTTCTCTTTTGACAAATACAGGCAGGGACCTCATGGGGTTAGCTTCCACTGTTTGAAGAAGCTTGTATATCATTTTTCAACTGATGATTCCTAATTTGCTTGATATATGTACCTTTTACACCTTTTCCTTGACAAGTCAACCAAGATTGAGTGGTTTTCAATTGTGGCCCGAAGTGTAGAAGAGAAACAGAACGAGGAAGAACATCATTTGAAGATTTCACAGAAAGAAGAGACTGGCATATTTACTCTGTTGTGGAGTCCTCTGGGATAAACAGTCACTGACATCAGGCACCTTAACTGAGTGCATTTTACATTTCAAGTTTCAGACACAGCCTCACAGCAAAGAGGAACCTCTCTAAAAACTTGACCAGATGCAAGCCTGGTAAGTCACTGCTTCGCATTGAAATGTTCATGTGAAGAAAAATTCTAGAGAGGAAATATTTTAGGAAGAGATGTTTAAGTCCTAAAAAATACTACCCTTTGTATAATCATGACTGTATAAAGATAAGAATCTCACATGGTAACAGAAACCATTTGGGGTATTTTGCTCTGCTGAGAAAAATATTCTTGTTTTACCATCTAAATCTACTGTAGCATAAAATCAAATGGTCAGTGGCTCGATATTTGAAGATCCAGGCAGGTTGATGACCTGTAAATTATGCTTTTCTTTCAATGTATTCTGAACTATTGACTGGTTAGATATGTAGAATTTTTGTAAACATAACTGAGGGATGATTTTATTGGAAAGCTCAAGTCTATTCTATCCTGATTTAAGGAGATGTAGTTCCATTTTTAAAAATGTTCCTTTTTCCCTTTATTTAATATCTTTGGTGTTAAATAGACAAAACTGTAACCAAAGCATTAAGTTGATTACAAATACATCATAAAGGAAATCTGTGAATAGTAATGATATTAGGATAATATTTCATGTATTGCCAAAGAAAAACTTGACATTTAAACTTAGAAAAAAATAGAGGTAGAAAAGACAACTTTTAACTTTCTATTTGTTCTTAAAAATTGCCTTTTTTTGTAATCAGACCCACTAAGTTGGCCTTTATATGGTCCTTCGCCTTCATCAAGCAGGTGGAGAAATACCTAAATGTGAAATCATTGCAGTTCGTTCCATGTCAAAGAGAAACCTGTTGACCCGATATATCAGATAACCAACTGCCAAGCAGGGCAGTTTCCAAGCACAGGAAGTATCAGAATTCCCTTTAAAGATAAATGATGATTGCACAAAATTTATAGTTTGGAAATAATACAGCATGCCACTTGTGTTATGCTGTATGCTCCTAAGAAGAGTATATATTAGAACTATTGTCACTAATAATAATGATTAAGTATCATTGTGTTAGAATCTGTGAAAATGAATTGCATAATTTCAATTAGGTAAATGAGCAGGCTATAAGCGTAGGAGTAAGATTTGGGGGACAGGGGTTGGGGAGGAGGGGAGTGTCTAGGGATGTACTTCGCAATATGTGCTGAAAAGACATGTTTCTCAGAAAGAGCTTTTTCAGTCATGAGATGTGATGTCCCCCACCCTCTGTCCCGGGAGTTTTGCTTTCCTGAGATGAGGGGGAAAAGGAGCCTTCTCAGTCTCTTTTCTAGATGCTCTCTCTTTGTCTTTGAAAAGGAGGAAATGAAATTTTCAGAAAGAGATCCTGACCAAATCAGAGAAACCCTGAAGGGATCTATGGAATTCTAGATGGTTCATCCTTGGATGAACCTGAGAGGCCTCTGAACCCCCTGCAGTCTGTGCAGAATTGCTGTGAGTGGAGAGAGAAGAGAACAGGCTTCACGCTCCTTAGAAGCAAATACAGGTCAGCCAGTGACATTTAGAAACACTGTATAGTCAGTCATTGCCACATAATGGTGTTCTGGTCAGTGGTGGATCACGCATATGATGGCGGTCCTATAAAATTTTAGTGGAGCTGACAATTCCTATGGCCTTGTGACTTCTAGCCATCATAACATCCTAGTGCAACTCATTGCTCACATGTTTATGGTGATTCTGGTGTAAACCCACTGTGCTGCCGGCCATATAAGAGTATAGCAATATGATTGTGTCTAGTACATAATACTTTATAATGACAAAAATGACTAGGCTATTGACTTATGTATTTACTGTACTATATTTTATATTGCTATTTTAGAGTATACTCTTTCTACTTATACAAAAAAAAAGGTTTTCTGTAAAGCAGTATGCTGTTACACCAGCAGCAGCCTCATGCATCTCATATTTACTGTGTTTTTTGATTGCATAATTTTCTCTTGTGTGTGATTTAATCTAGTATTGTTTTATAAATTTAGTGTAGCCTAAGTGTTTAAAGTTTACAGTAGTGCACACTAATGTCTTAGCCTTCACAGTCACTCTTGACTCACTTGGTGGCTCACCCAGAGCAATTGCCAGTCTTGCCAATTCTGTTCGTGGCATATGCCCTGTGTATATAGTGTGCCATTTCTTATCTTTCGTACTGTGTTTTGGCTGCATCCTTTCTATGTTTCAGCATGTTTAGATACACAAAAACTTGCCTCTGTGTTACAGTCCCAGGCAGTATTCAGTACAGTAATGCGCTGTACAGGTCTGCAGCCTGGGAGCGATAGGCCATAGAGCCTAGCTGGGTGCAGCATCCATCCTCTATTTCAGTAGTTTGTGCATGTGCACTCTGTGATGTTCACACAATGACGAAGCACCTAACGGTGCATTTCTCAGAACATGTCCCCATCATCACATGGCATGTGACTGTAATTGGGTTAGTGTTGCTCAAGCAGTGGTTGTCTTGGCCATGAAAGAAACTGAGGCTTACTGGGGTGGCTCTGAACTTTATCCTGGAGGGGTGAGATGAAGACTTAAGTGGAGAATGAGAATATTGAAGCATTAAGATCATAGCAAGGAAGAGAGGTATGTGGATCTGAGGATCAAGGCAAGGAGAAACATTGGAAGCTAAAGATGGTGATGAGTTAAGAGCAGAATAGGGTGGGTTGAAAGGAAAGAAGCATGATGAATGATTCTGAATTGTTTCTACTAACAAGGAGTGTACACAGATGCACTGGCTGAGCTGGGCATGGGTGATCAAGGTGGCCAAAAGGTGCTGCAACAGATCAGGCACACTGTTTTCTGAATGCCGTGGCTAGGCAAGCTCTGGCTAAAATCTTATATTACAGACTAAAGGTTACCTTAAGAAATCTTTTGTAACAAACTCCGCTTCTTCCCAGAAGCTTGCATTCTCTCAGGTGGATCTCATAGCTTTGCTGGGCCATCTTACCCCTTGGGAACAAAGCATCTTTTGTCACTGTTAGTTTCAAGAAGAGTCTCATGTCTATATTTGACTGCCCAATCTAGTGAGATAATCGAGTGTCCAACCTAATTCAGAAGAGAGGCTTCTCCCTCCCTTCACACCTCCAGTGGGGTGGCTTCCTGTTTGCAGAGTGCCGAAGTTTTATTTTACTCAGGTACGGTAGGTCATGCAGACGAAGAAATGACTGTCACCAAGGGAGACGTGTTGATTCACAGTTTCCTAGAAGAGTGTCACATGGCACACAGAGGCACGTGCAGAAGCACCAGGGTCAGTTGAAGGTAGAAGGAATGAGGGAAATGTTGAGCAAGTGCTCCTATTGTGGTTTCCAAGAGAATGGGCAAGGTTGGCAAATGGGTTTAGGATTGGCTGCTTTGAATGAGTTCAGCAGGCTCTGGGGTATAAGGGCTGTCTCTAGTTTTCTGGTAGTTGGTCCTGGAGCAATTAGAACAGGGGATAATGGCTCAGAGTGTGATTGGTACAGGCTTTGGGCTGGCTGCTTTGCCTATGAAAGGTACACTACCAGGCAAGTCTCTAGGAATTATCTAGCCTTGGGAGGGGCAGTGTCTCTAGGGTCAGCAAGATCCCAGAGGTCAAAGCATGAGGCATAAAGAAAATAAAAAGGCATGATTAATGCACTTCCACTCTCTGTTCTCATCTTTCTCTCCTGTCTGATCTCTACCTGGACTACCACCATAGACAGCTAGTCTGACCCACTGGGGAAGGGGAGATGAGACTCCTGAAGGCTCTAGATGGTCCATTTCTGAGCAGATATGTTGTGGGTACTCTTGGAATTGCCACAGCAATTCATGTTCTGGGGGATGAGGGAGCTTTCAGGAGTTTTTAAAGAACCCTCTGGGCTCTTCTGACTGAATTCTAGTGAAGTGGATCTTGACTTGCCTGGCTCATCATTATCCACTTCTAACCCTCAGCCCCTTTGGCTAAGGCATGCCTCCAGTGTCCTTCTGCTGCAGTGAGTTAGGCTTGTCCCCAGCAGAGGTCCTTGGGGGAAATGTCCCCTTGTGTAAATGATTCTGTCTGGCTCTTGTGTCTGGGATGGCCCGCTGGCCCAAGGGAAGACATGTGCACCTGTGTCCAGCCATTCATTGGCGGAGTGTGGTGGACTCCCGATGCAGCCCCTTCTCTTCGCCACGTCAGGCGGATCTAGCAGCACATCTCAGCCACCCTTTAAGCTTGTGCCAAACTCTCCACATGGTCCTACTGAAGCTCCTCTCCTGCTCGGACTAGGGTTGGGCAGAGCCTCCTCCTCTCCTCCCCCAGGACAGGGTGAGGCTGCCGGAGGAAGCACAGCACACCACAACTTGACCGGAAGAAATCGTTCCTTCCTCTTCCTCTTCACACTCAGCCTTTTCACAGCTTCACTGGGCATTGGGTTAAGTTTATATAAAATGGTTTATACTTCTCACGGGCCTTGTCTAGGTGGTCTTTGAAATTTGGCAGTACCTGGAACCTGTTATTTTTCACTCTTCGGGGAAAAACTGAAACAAAACAAGTCACATCCCAATCTTCTGTTAAAATTAATAACCACTAATGAGGAAAAGGAAACATGCATTGAATATCATAAAGTGTGCTGACTCCAAAGGATTTCAGAAGAAACCCACACTCATCACTTCAAAAGTTAAACACTAATTTTTTAATAATTGAATTACAGCACCAGTGACACCTTATTGCCTCAGTAATTTAATGCCATTTCTATGTTCATAGGTCAGCTCAGATATTTTTTCTGTATCAAAATTACATAAACCAATTTTTTTTACATTTTATTTATTTATCTTTAGAGGGGAAGGGAAGGAGAGAGGGAGAGAAATATCCATGTGTGGTTGCCTCTCGTGTGTCCCCTGCTGGGAACTGGCCTGTAACCCAGGCATGTGCCCTGACTAGGAACCGAATCACAATCCTTTGGTTCATGCAGGCCTGCGCTCAATCCACTGAGCTGCATCAGCAAAGACTAAACCAATATTTTTATACAGAAAAGTCAGTCAAGGAAAAGAGTTTGGTGCTACATCAGTCAAGGAAATAGTTTGGTGCTATTTTTAAGTATGATAAAATAAAATTGCTGGAAATT